GTGGGAATCCCATGAGGCAGTTCTTTGTCTGACTCGGCTGCTATGTGTCAGGAGTCAACCCAAAGGCAGTGTGTTTGTTGTATCCTGCTAATCTAAAGGGAGTTCTGTTGGCTTAGAGCTAAAGAACTGCATTGCCAGCTCAAAGGGTATGCGGTTCAAATCTGTCAGTTGCACAGCGGGAGAAATTTAAGCAATCTTTTTTTTTTTGTGAGGATGACACAAAATGGGAAGCTTTTTATTGGTTGTACATAGGGTTGCTATGCAGCAGATTCAACGCAATAGCTCTAACAACAGCAACAACACTTAGAGAAAACAGTGAATTAAATCATTAGCTAGTAAAAAATCATTAGCTAGATGTAACTTTAATAATAAAATTTACATTAAACAGATATTCTTTGGAAGAAATAGGAATATGTAGAAATAGGAATAGGGATAATCTATGAACTTTTATTTTGGAGATGAACTTTCTAGCCCATATTATAACCATTTTTGTTGTTGTTGTTGTACCAGCAATCTTTTTTTAAAAAAAATTATTTTATATTGGTTTGCTTACAAAATTAGTATATACTGTATTTTATACGATCCTTCATTCACACTGTGTTTCATACAATCATTCTCATTCATTATGTTGTTGGTGGGTTTGTTTTTTTTTTACTTACAGAATTAATATACGTTGTCTTCACACCAGATCCTTCCAATTAATGGGCAATCTTGACTCTGAAATTACTGCCTCTGAAAACCCACTGGATGGCCAGCTATGGGCCGGTTCTGACTCTGATGGAATAAAACAACAACAACCTAAGGAAAGGTGGAGGGCTGGCAAAAGAGAGGAGATCCTCAACCAGTGGCCGCAGCAATGGGCTCCAGTATGTCTGAAATAATGAGGCCGGCACAGGATAGGACAGGGTTCAGAGCTGTCGTTCACGGGTTGCTATGAGTTGTACTCTACTTGATGGCATTTTTCACAAAAATACCTAAAGGCTGGCAGTTGGAACCAGCCCCGCAACTCTGTGCAACAAATGGCCTGGTGGTCTGCCTCCTGATTTACAGTATCTCATTCTGCTGTATGGGGTTTTTATGAATTTAGTTCTACAGGACAACAAACAAGACCCCACCAGGCCTGGCCAAGGTCACACTGGTCAGTGGGCTCTTTCTCAGGGCTGTGAACTGAACATTCTGAGGCCTGTCCAGAGGTCAATTTCCAGGTGGGCCCAGGTGTTAACAGTTTCCCCAACTTCTAGTTTCCTCTTTGGACCTAAGTTAAGATACAGGATGGGTGCCAATTTCCGGGGCTCGGTGAGGTCGGAACGCAAGAACCAAAACCCCAAAGGAAAAAGGAAACGCAGGCAGCAGCCCTGTGGACAGGTGGGGTTTTCGCCTGAGGCGAGCTCTGGGCTCCGGAGGTGACATCAGACGCTGTCTATCCAGGACTGCCCCAGCTGCTCCCCGGCTACCTGCGCTTTCCATTTCGGGGAAAATGACTGGGAGGAGACCGGCCGAGGGGGTCAGGAGTGGGCGGGCTCCAGGAAGAGCTCCGCATTCCTGCACCTGGCCGGGAAACAGATCCGCTCTGGGATTGAAAATCCGCCTCCCAAGCACTTTCCTGAGCCTCGCCTCCCACCTGGTTCTAATCCTTCACCCCCGGAGCTGCCCCGGCGAGGAATTCACGGCTCCTTTTCTACTTCCCAGTCCCACACCACCTGTTCATCTCTCGGTCTTTTTTCTTTCTTTTCTCCACGCTCACCTCCGCTCCGCAATGGCATCTCTGTGTTTGGGATCAGATTCCAGGCTGTTAATCTCAGCTCAGCCTCCTATGAACATACTGTTTGAGTCATACCCTTTCTCTGAGCCTCAGGTGTCTCATCTATTTAAAAGACACATTGCTCATGGATCCTGACATGTCATCTTTTGAGAGTAGCTTGCCAGGTCACTGCTTACACCACCCAGGGACCTCCCCATCTTTAAAAAGGAGCTCACAGCTACCTGTCCTGATTGTGAGGGCTAAACAAGCTCATGAAGATATTTAACAAAAAGTAGGTGTTTTCTCAAGAATATTTCATCAGCGGACCAGAGGGATTTGAAATATTCAGTTTGTTGAACTGAACTGAGGCAGCTACAAGAGGGGTCGAGCTGGAAAGCATCTCAGAAATTTTGGGGCTCCAGTAATTCCCAAACTAGATCCAAATGTATTATTTACAATATATCCAACTAATAAAGGAAATTGCATGCCCTTGATAAAGTATCATGTGTGGGTTGTGGTTTTTTTTTTTTTAACTTTTGCCTGAAATTATACCAACACAAGGTGGTAAACACGGCCGTTCAGGAGTTCTGATGGACAATTGCATGTGCCCTAGTAAATGATTTTTTTTTAATTGGGAAAATAATTAGTGGAAGTAGATTAAATGTTGGAAAATGTTAATCTTGTCCAACTCTGTATTTCATAAACAGGGAAGTTGAGGTTTAAAGAAGGAAATGTGGCTTGCTCAGTCACACAGCTGGTGAGTGGAAGGGCTCACTCCAAACTTGAGTTCTTTGCCTGAGTTACTTCCTCTCTTTCTATTCCAGAAAAGGATAAACTATGATCAATGCGACGTTTTTTGGCAGGGTCAGAAATGAAAGTGACTCATCACCTAGCTGTTTCCCTTTCTCTGTTCTTGACTCACTCAGCAAATATTTACTGACTGTCCACACGATTCCCACTCAGAGGAGAAACAGAGAAAATAGTTACGCAATAGGCAGAGTCAGGATTTGCACCCAGATGTGCCTTTAGGACCTGTGTGTGTGTGTGTGTGTGTGTGTGTGTGTGTTTTCCCATCAGATACTCTTTACAAAACAACTGTAAGACAACTTCTATAACTTTGGACATGTTTCAGGAGGGATCAGTCCTTGGAGAAAGACATTGTGCTGGAAAAGATAGTGGGTCAGAAAAAAACAGGAAAACCTTCAACAAGATAATCTGACACAAGGACTATAACAATAGACTAGAGCGTATCAGAGATAGCACAGGATAGGACAAGGTCCAGATCTATTGTTCATAGGTTCTTGGTGAATCCTAGTCAGCTCAACGGCACCTAACAATAACAATATATCTGGAGATAAATAGTGTCTGAAAGAAAGAGATTATCCAATCTCTACGTGTCCCAAGCCTCCTTGTTGTTCTAAAAGGGACTGACTCAGTGACTGTAATAATGGGATCGAGTATATCAGAGACTGTGGGGCTGACGCAGCCAGAGCAAGGTTCACATCTGTTCATTAGAGCCTCTATGAATCATAGAGACGAATCACTTGAATTCCAATCCTTTTCCACAAATCCTACATGTTTGAGAGAGGTTGTATTGCTTTCCTTCTCTAGCTCTTATTTAATTTCAGTAAAGAACAAGTAGAGAAATCATGTGAGAGTGCACAGGTTCATGCTATCCAAGAATGTAACATCTTCTTGTCATGTGCCATCAAATTGACCTAGATTTTATCTAATTATTGACTACTAGCAAATAGTGGGAATCTAGGCTGAAAACCTCTATGGAGAACAATATACTTAATATCACATGCAAGCAAAATACTACTAACAATAAAGGCCATTGAGTTGACCTAGCCTTAATCTGTTGTTGTTATGTGCCATCGAGTCATAGCAACCTTATGCCCAACAGCTCTGAAGCCCACGCTGTCTTGAGCCAGTCTCACTGACTTCGACACACTTTATCCTCATTGTCCCAGTTTCTTTGTTAATCCATCTCATCCAGGTTCTTCTTCTCCTGTGCTGTCCCTCCACCCTTCTGAGCATGATGTCCTTTTCCAAGGACTGGTCCTTCCTGGCCACATGCCCCAAGTATGTGAGATAGAGCTTCAAAATCCTAGCCTCTCAGTGCATCTAAATTCCAAAATCAATCTCCATAATAGTCTATGTGTTTCCTACTGCCAAAGGGGCCCTTTAGAGTAGTGAGAGAAGACCTTCACCCTGAAACCCACAGCGTCCCTTTTCAGCAGGAAGTAGCTAAGAGAATACGCCATCCCCTTTTCCTTATGAATCAGGGTGAAGTCTCTCTCAGGGAGGAGTGATAGGGAATGGCAAGGGACACACTGACAAAGGAGATTAATCAGAATTGGCTTTGACAAGCACTGTGGCAATTGGACAATTAAAACAGACATGGGGGGGAAGAAGAACGAACTGGGGAGGAGGGTGGAGAAAACAGTGCAACAATGAATGAATGAAAACCCAAAATCTCTGTAAATGTTCATTAAAAATAATAAAATTTAATAATAAAAAAAATCCTAGCCTCCAAGGAGAAACTTGCTTTTACTTTCTCCAAGATTAGACCTATTTGTTTTCTTGGCAGTCCGTGGTATGTTCAAGACTGTTCTCCAGCACCACAACTTAAAGTCACCAATTCTATTCCTTAGTCACTGTCCAGCTCTCTGATGCATAGCGAGTAACTGCAAAAAGATCAGGCACACCTTAGTTTCTAGACTGACGTCATTGCTCCTCAATACTCTGGAGAGGTCTCAGACAGCAGATTTTCCCAGTGCAACTCGTCTTTTTTTTTTACATTTTGTACATTCAATGCGCAAACGACTCGATGGCACATAACAACAACAACAACATTCAATGATTTATTTATTGCAAATATCTTTTCTTTGCAACTCGTCTTTTGATATCCTGACTGCTGGTGCTAACTAGAAAGAGCAAATACCAGGCACCTAGGCTGTAAACAGAACCAAAGTCAATCACTGCCTCAACGCTCCTCTCTGCCCCAGCCGCTCTCCCTTTATTTAAATTTCCCCTCTAGAGGGCGCGCAAGCTCTATGGCTTTGGGCCCTCATTTCCGTTCGACTTCACATTTCAATCTGCGCATGTGCGTTCCTCTCTGGGACACTCGTTTACGTCGCTTACGCCCACGACGCCGGCGGAACCCTAGCCAGCCCCGCCCCTCCGCCGACGTCACCGGAAATGCCTCCTTCCTACGCAGGCGCTGCCGCCGTAGCTGGACCTTTGCCTCTCTAGGCCGACAAGGCCTCTTCTCCATGGTCCCGCCGGTCAGCGCTGTTTCGGGGGCCTCCCGGTGAGACCGGGCCGCGCTCGGTCGCGTCGATCCTCGAGTTCGTCGCCCGTAAGTGACCGCCAGGGCGGCTTGAGTCGGGGCGGGGGCTGAGTATCCGGAACGGGGATGTTTCCCCCCCTTTCACCCCGGCAATGGGTCGGCCCACCCCTCCCCCGCCCTGGAATGGGCTCGCCCCCTTCATCCCAGTCCCTCCTCCCGGGCGGGGCGGCGTTGCCATGGTGATGACAGGCTGGCTCAGGCCCGGCGCTTGTCCCCGCAGGTGCCGGGGCGGCCCCGGGCCCCTGGCGCGGTGGCCTTGACGGAGGCCCGGGCGACGGCCGGGTCCCGCGGGCCGGCATGGCAGGCCAGTTCCGCAGCTACGTTTGGGACCCGCTGCTGATCCTGTCGCAGATCGTCCTCATGCAGTCGGTCTACTACGGCTCCTTGGGCCTGTGGCTGGCGCTGGTGGACGCGCTGGTGCACAGCAGCCCGTCGCTGGACCAGATGTTCGACGCCGAGGTAGGGTCCCCGGGCCGGGGCGCACCCCACCTCCCCACGCGGTCTTTGTGGTCGGAGGGTAATGAGCGCTGTCGTCAGCGGGGCCACCTCCTCTCTTTGTGACCCCGATGAATTTACCTTTCCAAATCTCAGCTGCCCTAGCAGCCGGAATTACTGATAAGAGAGTGCAAATTAGTGGAAGTTACAGTCATTCTAAGAATCTGATCAATCCGCCGGACACTCGGAAAGTGACTTCACCTTTTTCAGCCTCAGATTCTTGGTGGTCTAATTTGAGACCATTACCAGGGGCTTAATTCCCATTTACAGCAGTTTTCTGGCCCCATAGGGTTCTCGCAGAGCAGCTAGGATGTATGTAACCTGGGACCTTTTAGGTTGGCAGTCAAATGCTTTAACTGCTGTGCCACCGTGGTGCAGGAATGGATGAAAGACTCTCCTTGGGCGATGAGTCCACTTCACTTCTCAGCTGTGTGGCCTTGAACAACTGCTGTCTGTTGCCTCCGTGAATTCTCATTTTCTCTCTGCAGGATGTGAAACCTGAAGCAGAGAGGTTGCTGGATTCAGTGCATTAATGCATTTTAGATTCAGAAAGGCATAGATGTTCATTCTGGGCCCAGACATACTAGTGTGTGAGATACGGAAACTGGGCAAAATAAAAACATGTAATTATTAGAGAAAGAAAAGCTTGAAGAGAAAGTTTTCATATGATAATAAATTGAATAGGAAAAGTATTGCTTAGGTTAAATTTTTTAATATATGCCAAATGTGGAAGCCAAAGTATTTTTGCAAACCATATATGATGTAACCAAAAGCAAAGAATTGAAATACTTAACTTTGGAAGCAGCAGTGGCATCCACTTCCTAAACAACGTGCCTCTGGAAACAGTGAACTTTCATAAATGTCAATAGTTATAGAAAGGCTTCAGGCTTTTTGTTCATAGCATCACTGTGAGTCGTGCTAGACTCGAAAGCAGTCAACAACAACAACATCTTACTACTGGGCCAAAGAGTAAAGAGGGGCCTTGAGAAAGGGAAAGGCAGGCCTCAGAAGTTGTGACCCCTGAGATGCCAGCTATGGAGACTGGTGTTGAACGCAGTTCTTGGAGTCAGGAGACCTGAGATGGAATCTTTGCTCCAGCTGCTTGTTCTTTGTACAGCCCTTGGGTGAGTTGCAACCCAGAGAGAGGTGGCATTAACAGCGGCAGCTTTGCTTGTTGTGAAGATGATAGGAGATAATAAACGTCAGAGGCTTTTGTAAGCAGAAAACAGGCAGATGTTTGACGTTCAGTCGTATTTGTCAGGGATGATATGCAGTTACATGCTCACCAGCAGCCTCTCCTCCTGGGAACGGCGTGCGGGATCCCTGGCTTTGGCAGAGTCATCTGATGCTTGCAATCTGAATTCTAGAACAGGGACAGCGTAGCTCTTCTTGAAGAGTGAAACAGTAAGGATTTTAGATCACAAAAACTGAGCTGTTCCATTGCAGCACAAAAGCCGCTGCAGATAGTATAGAACAAGACGTTGCTTCTGTTAAACTTTAGTTCCTAAAATGTGTTCCTGACCCACAAAACTATACTTTGTTGAGCTCTGTTCTAGACTTTATTCTTGCTACATCCTTAACGACATCACTTTAGATAATTCACTTCTTTGAGCTTTTATTTCTTCTTCTATAGCTATAATATCTTTTTTCTCCTGCTGTGAGGGTCGTGTGTCTTAATGTCTGTGAAAAGTAACAGAAAGCTGCCAGATAGGTGAAGGGGGTCTTGTGTTCTGTCTTCTGGGATGGATGTACCTTCTTGGGAAATCTTCTGGGATCCTGCAGCTGGGGACTCTACCAAGTCACTTCTCCAGCATATTTCCATTTGTGATTCACCCCCCCAGATCCTGGGCTTCTCCACCCCACCAGGCCGGCTCTCCATGATGTCCTTCATCCTCAACGCGCTCACCTGGTGAGTATCACCAGCTTTGCTTAATACAAGGACTCACTTCTTAAATTGGGAAATGAGGCAGCCTGGAGGGTAGTGGGCAGTAATGAGTGGCAGAGGCCAGCTCTTGTCAGTCGGGCTTCCTGCAGAACAGTTTGGAATTAGCTGACAAGGACTTAGGTGGTTATACATATATGCTGCGAGTGGGACGTCTTCCTTCCTAGGCCTCTCTCTTGTTGTGGACTGAGATGAGGAAGGGATTGGACTGGAGTTGGGAGAACTGGGTTCTGCTCTGAATCTGTGTGCCATTAGCCAGGTTACTTCCCTGCTCTTTGTGGGACTTGAACTCCTCATCTACACTTACTGGGTTGATTGGCCACCTCTCAGGTCTCTTAACACCATTGCCTGTCTCTTGACAGACCGTCTAATACAGGGTTTAAGATCTCTAACAGTGGAGGTTAGACTCAGTTCTTAATCACAGCCTTAACACTAGTCTGGTGATTTTGGATGAGTTACTTAACCCATCTAAGTCCCAGTTTCCTCATCAGTAAGATGAGGCTGATAATTTTACCCACAGCGTATTTGTAAGGACTAAATGAGTTAATTCTAGGAAGTACTTAGACCTTGTGCCTCACTGCTGCTATTGTTAACACTCCACTCGGGGTTTACCACAGGAGCACTGTCTTTGACCTTAGTTTGGCTCTCAGATATGTGCTGTTAGGTTTACACAGATATCAGCAGCCAAATGTACTGTTTAGGACATTTTTTCACTTGGCTGGAAAATCAGGATATTGCATATAAAAATCTAGAGATCTGGCTTCTCTTGGGAAATGGGACGAACTTTTGATTTTGGGCCAACCTTCCAACTTGCTCATGTTTGCTTAGAGGCAAGTAGCTACTTCTTCCCCCTTTAGAAAGGACACATATGCTTCCGGGTGTCTTCTCCAGTTCCTGGAACCTCGTGAGTGAGAGTCGTCATCACACATGTGCTAACTTTTGCCTCCCTTGATCCACTTTTAACATTATCTGCCAGGTTTCTCTAGGCATTTGATATTCCAACCCTCGCTTCTGATCATTATGCTATCATCATAATTCTCCCTACTCCCGAATAACCTAATCTAAGGCCAGGACACCCCAGTGACCACTCGCTGCTGTCCTCTCCCCACAGTGCCCTGGGCTTGCTGTACTTCATTCGGCGAGGGAAGCAGTGCCTGGACTTCACTGTCACTGTCCATTTCTTTCACCTCCTGGGCTGCTGGTTCTACAGCTCCCGTTTCCCCTCGGCGTTGACCTGGTGGCTGGTCCAAGCTGTGTGCATTGCCCTCATGGCCGTCATCGGGGAGTACCTGTGCATGCGGACGGAGCTCAAGGAGATCCCCCTCAACTCTGCCCCGAAGTCCAGTGTCTAGAACTGGGCCCTTCGGACACTCTGCTGGGCACTTGGTCCATCCGACGCCCTGGGTTGATCCGACCTTCCAGATGCGGTCCCGCCCAGGTGTGAGAGTAACCCTGGAAATGTGAAGTTGGTGTGGGTGAGGTAGTAAGGCCCTGCCAAGGAGCAGATAGCAGATCACAGCCGCATGAATGGACTCTGTTTGCTGAAGTTTTGGTGTCTGGGAGGCCAGGAAGGAGACCTCTTGAAGAAGAACAGAATTGGAACCATGCCACTTGGAGCCACCATACCAGTCACCAGTCTCTTTAAAGGAGAAGGGAAAAAAAATCAAGGATATATGATTGAAGCGACTCGCTCTCCGTGTCATCACTATGGCTGAACTACAGTTAACCTGTTTAGGGAAATACTTGCTTTCTGGATCCACAGCCCCGGAAAGAGATGGCGAGACAAAGCAGCAAGCTGTTGTCAGGGAGAGGACGGCAGCGGAAGCATGAAGCACAAGGAAGAGGCACAGCCCGTGCCCTGCCACACGCACGTGCGTGCACCCGTGAACCCCTGACTCCTCCTCTCCATTCCCTCCACTGAGTCCCACGCTGTCACCTCCCAGGGAAGCAGGCCCAGGGACCCCGAGAGGAATCCCAGCACCCGATAATAGTCACAGCCTGTTCCCAGGCATCCTCAACTCCCTCTGGACCCCACCTCCAGCAGCAGTTCCTTTTTCCTGCCCTACTCGGTGTTCTCCAGTGGAAAGGGTCTGACAGGTGACCCAGCAACCAGCTCCGGTTGCACTGATGGTACTGATGGAGACAGGAATTTACTGCTAAGGTTTTCCTTTGGGGTGGAGTTTCCTCTGTGAGGGAGTTGCAGCTGTCCTTCCTTGTACATAAATACAGTATTTTCCACAGTCTGTCTGTACTTGGCTTTGTAATGCCGCCGTTGAGACTGAGAGGTCTGGTAGGCTGCCACCTCCTTTCCTCAGCCACAGAGTTACTTCATTTGGTTAATGTATATTAATGTACAAGGACTGCCGTGCCACACGCTTCGCCTGCAGCCTCCTTCACTGGCCCTGGGGTGGACGGCCATGATCCTCAGGGTTCCTTTTGCACTTGCCCATGATTTCTGAGCCTGTCCCCAAGGAGCTCACTAGGCTAGACCACTTCTGCATTGAAACCATCACTGCTCCTCTTTGGTTTCTCTGGAGCTTGCTCCCGACAGCTGTCCTTTTTCAGTATTCAGTGTGATGACTACACAGATGAGGAGTGCGGCTCTCTCTGGGAGTCCGCTCTGGCCTCCTGGCGCTCAGCAGTGCACAGTAGGAAGCTGAGGCTGACACATGAAGGCATCAGCAAACGTGCCCTGGCAGGAGATGGGAAGGAGCCGGAGTGCTCAGTCATTGAGGATCTTCCACCCCTGCGGGTGGGTGGGGGGAACGTAGGTCATTAGTGATACCACAGTCCTGGGTACAAAGTCCCAAAGTTAAGAGCAGCTGGGATGGTGTCTCCTGGAGCAGTGGACTTCCAGATGCTGCAGACCTGTCTAAAGGTGTCAGCACTGGAGGGTGCCCTCTCCCCTGACCCCCTGTGGCGACTCGCCTCAGCTGTGGTTGGAGTGTGCGTGGGGACTTCCCCTCAAGGCCTGGTGCCTGTTCCTTTGCATATCATTTGTGATGACAAGTGTCTGTCCCTTAAGTGTTTTAATTTTTGTTCTCATTGTGATTTGAGTGGAAGTTTCTAAAACATAATTTCCATCCAATTTTTATATGCTTTTGTTCTGTAACGTTAACTTCAGTGTCCTCGACGTGATGGGCACTTTTGCCACTTCCTCCCTAGATTCAGATTCCAATTACTGTGGGTGTTCATTTGATTTTTGGAAACGTCACAGGAGCGTAGTTCCCTTCAGTACTCACCCGCTGCAAAATAATACGGTGACTGACGTATGGCTCAGAAATTATGTGACCATAATATCTTTCTGACTTTTAGTGCTGAAAGCAGTTCCTAGAGGAAATTATGGAGCGGATTGGGTAATGACAGTGACATACATACATGTTTGCCATTTTAATGTTAATAATAATAACATCTTCCCTGATAAGAGGGAGCTCTGGTGGCCTAGTTGTAAGGAGTTGTGCTACCAACCCGAAGTCAGGCAGTTCAAATCCACCAGTGACTCCAAAAGAAAAAATTGGTCATTCTACCCTCGTGGGATCTGCAGGCTCTAAAAACCCACTGGGAAGCCACCTGCGTGTCTGTCCAGCTCATTAGTGTATAGCAACATAGAGCAGACGACCCTCAACAAGATGGACTGAGCAGCGACTCTAACAGTGGACGCAGGTACATCAGAGACGGTGAGGGTGGTGCAGGGCATGGTGAGTCCAGACTTGTTCTTTAGCGGGTTGTTAGGAGCCTTGGTTGACTCGATAGCACCTGACAACAACAACAGGTGTAGGGTCACAGTCTCGAGGCAGTTGTGCTGCTAATCCAAAAGCCACATCTCTCTGGCTGTTCAGATCTACCAGAACTCCGTAAAAGAAACAGTCTCCTCTGCTGTGATTTACAGCCTCAGACCCAGTAGAGGGTCAGCTAGCTGAGTCAGATTCCACGCAACAGCAACGAGTGGGTGAGTGCTAACATCCCAGGAACTCTGGTGACTGACACGGTGGGGCTGTCAACCAAAAAGTCAGGGGATCAAATCCACCAGCTTACTCCTCAGGGGGAAAAGTAGGCATTCTTCTCTCATAAAGCTAAGTTGTGCACTGTCAGAACCAACCCATAGCTGACCCTCCCGCAGTTTTTCAGAGGCTGTTAATTGCGCGGGAGGAACTTGCCCATCCTCCTGCCGAGCAGCTGGTGGATTTGAACCACATATCTTGGAGATGACAGCATAGCTTCTTAGCACTAGACTACCAGAGTTCCCTCATAAAGATAGACCACCTCAGAAGCCAAACGTAGGACTACCATGAATCAGAAGCAATTCAACAATAGTGGGGGGTTTTTTTGGTTTGTTTATTGAGTGCTTAATGGGTGTCTAAGAGCTTCCCGTTTCTCTTCTTGCTTAGTCCTTGCAACTATCCTCTGAAGCAGGAAAACCTTCATTCTTACCTGACAGATGAGGAAACACGGGGACTTGCCCAGGGTTACTTGTTAGGAATGGATGAGCCAGAATTTGACCTCTCTGGTGCCATTACAAGACCTCTGGTGGCTTAGTCTGCAGGAGTGGTGTTAACTCAGAGCTGGTGTGTCTCTGGTGGTTCGAATCCACCAGGGGCTGCCCCATGGGAGAAGAAGGGGCTGTTTGCACCCATGAGATTTACAGTCTCCAAAACCCCACTAGCTATGACTTGATTCTAACTTAACAATGAGTATTTGAGTTCAAGAATGGTATTTGAATTCATCCTGAAGCGGTCAGTGTATATAACTCCTTCTAATCAGTACATCTCTCTCCTTACAATCATACTTTCTATCCTTACTGTGTTGGTAAGAAAGCTGCCCTTAAGCCCTTTCCGACTTTTGACAGCACCACGTCCTGAAGGCACGAGGTTCGAATCGACCAGCTGCTCTGCTGGAGAAGGCTGAGCAGACTCCTCCTGTGTGATTAGCTGCCTCTGAAAACATGCTGCAGAGTCAGCCATGGCTCATTTCAGACTCAACAGCAAGCAACAACTACAACAGTCAGTAGTGTTAGTGATAGCACCGTGTTAGAGTGGACTGCTCCACAGGGGTCGCCGGCTTTCACATGCACATCACCAAGTTGGCCAGGACATCTCTGAGTGGGTTCGAACCTCCAGCCTTTCAACTGGTTGGCATGTGTGCTTAACCATTTGCAACACCCAGGGTTCTATTCTTTTCTTAAGATACCGAGGCTGTATGGTGATTTGTACACATGACTGGTTTTCAGAAAAGCAGATAAGGCTTTTCATTAAATATGGCCACAAGTTTCCAAGTGAAGGTAGGAATGCAGGAGATGTTTTCTTCCCAAAGGGTAAAAGACGATTCCTAGATCGGAAAGCTGTCTCTGGTCCACTACTGAGTTGCTGTATCTTGACTTTCTAGGAGTGTGAGGTGTGCTCCTCCCTTCCACCCATGCCTGGACTAGAGCCCTTTGGGGAGACACATGGAGACTAGTTTGCAATACTAGTGCTCAGAAGATCGATTAGCTCTGAAGGAGGAGAGGAGAAAGACATTTGACTCAAAAGCATCTTTAACCCCTGGCTCTAGGCACTTCAAAGTCAAAGCCAAATGAAGGCCAGGATAGCTCCAGGGCTTCCTCGGGAAGTGCACAATTCAAACAGGCCCCGCTGGAAACCAGGTTTCCTGGGTGCCCTCAGTAACTTCTTGGCAGCCCCAGCAGTTGCTCAGTGTCCAGTCATGGAACTTTCCCCGCTTCTGCAGCCCCGGAACCATGAGCATCAGAGATGGGGCCTCTGGGGACCCTAGGACATGTAGACTGCCGTGGTGTCAGGATACAGGCCTCTGGGACAAAGGGAATGAAAGCCACTGCCGTGCCTGATATGTCTCCAGCTGTTCAGTCCCACAGTGACTCTTGAGGGATCAAGAGGGCAGTCTTCTCACGGTGTGTCTCCGTCCTTGGGGACTCGGTGGAGACGTGCTATATTAGAACTAAGTGTCAGCAGACAGGCAAGGTCTGGGGCGGCTGACTTTGGAGGCTACAAGCTTCAGAGGCAGGCATGTCCAAAGGTCATTGGGAAACAGGATCAGCAGATACTGGCTACCTTTGTATATTGAGAAATCTAAAGTTTACAAGGACAGCAGCAGGCTGCTAACTTAAGTCCAGAGATTTTGGGTCCAATAACTAGGTGGAAAATCTACAATTCACCTCATTGTTGTAGTTGGAATCTACTCATAGCTCACCTGCCCAGTGGGTTTTCGGAGGCTGTATATTGCACAGGTGGAGACTGGCTGCCTGTCTATCTCCTGAAGAGCAATTGGTGGATTGTAACAAAAAGCTTTGTAACTATTTTGCCAGAGTCCAAACGAAGATGTTATGTAGGCTACACACCAGAGGAGACCGACCCTTAATCAGGTAACACTATTCATTTCTTTACAAATCCTCTGGTAATATTCCTGCCTGTTAACATCCCTGAGGTTAGAATTTACAGCACATCTATTAATTACATTGTGCTGAGGGTCACAGGCTGAGGATCTTGGCAACATCCCCACACAACATTAACATGATGGGAGTTGGGAATTTCCATACCTGTTTTGCCAATCCCTAGGCAAGGCAGAGAATCGCAGTGGTCCAATGCCAGAGGGTTTAGAGAGCTGTAGTGATGTGCGGTTAAGTCCTGCAGCCCCTCTTACTGGCTGGGAGACTTTTGAGTAAGCTGCCTCACATCTTGTTCCTTCACTTATTAAAGAAGGATAATAATTGTACTTATTTTCCTGGGTTCTTGTGAGGATTCAGTGAGCACCTGACTTGCCAAGTGCAGAGCACACAGCACAGTGTCTGGCACGTAGGAACCGGAACTCTAAGTGCATTTAGTAAGCCGCATCCCTCATGCTGTAGGGAAGGAGGCACCTTCTCTCTGAGTCTGTGCATTTTCAGCTGTCAAGGTCTGCTGCTCTGTGATGGAGTTGACAGCTGTGAAGTACAGTGTCAAGTTTTGTGCCCGGTGCTCCCAAGTGCCTGACTTATGCATATGCTCACTTGATAGAGTGAGATTTAAAAGGCCAACCACAAACCAGTCGCTATTGAGTCTGTTCTAACTCATGATGACGTCAGGTGTTGAACAGAACCGCATACCACAGGATTTCCCTTGGCTGGTATTTCAGAAGATGACCAGGCCTTTCTTCTGAGGCTCCTCAGTGGATTTAAAGGGCCAGCCTTTTTGTTGGTATCTATACCCTTTCATCAGTGAATAGACACCAGTATTTTCTGCTTTTGCACGCTAAGAAGTAAACAGTTTCCCCAACATCATGAACCTGAGAAGCTGGCTCTGTCTGCCTTTTAGCCTCACGCTCTTCCTACCCCCTCATGTTTGAGTGGTACATGATCCATACAGTCAGAGAAGTCTTGTAACCTGGATGCCTTTTGAGCAAAAGGTTCTGCTTATGACTGTGCTCTTGGCTTGGTCAGCAGTTAGTGCCCTAAAGGTGGGCAGTTCAGCCAGTGCTCACTGGGGAGAAGCAGGACTGGCACTGATGGGGGCTTTGTAACAGCGCAGGGCCAGGGGCTCACTGCTCGGGGGGCACTGTGTTCAGTGAGCCTCTGAAACAGAATAGAGCTTCCCTAGTGGGATCCCAAGGCTGTAAATCCTCACGGGAGCAGACAGCCTCGTCTCTCTACCACCTCAAACTACTGACGAAAGCATTTGCCTGCAGCGCCACCAGGACGGCTCAGGCCAGGGAGGAAACATGAGGAAAAAGTCGAACACTTGTTCTGTCGCTCACACACTGGCTTCATTCACCGACAGTAGCCAAGCCCAATAGGGTGGATGTTGTCACCGTTTTCTAGATAAAGATTAAACTGTGGTTATGTGCTGTCAAGTCAGAGCCTTGGCTCAGAAGGAGATTGCCCATCTACCTCCCGAGGAGCAGCCGATGGAATCAAACTGTTTGCCTTTCGGTTGGCAGCACAACTCCTTACCCACTAGGCCACCAGAGCTCCCTAAAGATTAAATAAGTAAAAAAACCTCAAAAAGATTAGAAAACATCATTGTCATGGAGCCAGAACCGACTCATAGCCGACCCTGCAGCGGGTTTTTGGAGACTAGAGCCTCCTAACAATTCTAACAGAAGAATTGATGCCTTTGTGCTGTCGTGTTGGAGGAGAGTGCTCAATATCCCATGCTCTGCCAAAAGATCAAACAGGTCTTGGAGAAGGTGCAGCCAGTATGCTCCTTAGAGGCAAAGCTTCATCTCTCGTACTTTGGGCAGGTTGCTAGGAGAGGCTTTTTCTTGGAGAGGGACATCATGTTTGGAAAGGTGGAAGGGCAGCGAAAGAGAGGAAGACCCTCAACTACGTAGATTGACAGAGCAACTGCAGCAGTGGGCTCAGCGTGTTAGGAATGAGGAGGATGGCTCAGGATGGGACAGAGTTCAGAACTCTTGTTCATAGGGTCGCTGAGAGTGGCCCTCAGTGGCACCTAAGAACGACAGATCCTCGTCCAGGGGAAGAGATTGCCGGTCTTCCCTCCTCGCAGCTACCAGAGGATGCCCGGTGCCGGAGAAATACCACCTCTGGGTTATCAGCTCAGCTCCTGTGGGCAGTGCCACCGAGGCTCCCTTACAGAAACAGGCACCGAGATGTGTAAAAAGTCACTTAAGACACAAACTGAAATTCAAGCACTTCAAAGTTAAGCTCACTCTTCTAATTTGTGAGCTCCTTGGGAGGCCGGGGGCAGGCCCGTTTTCAGCCTCTTCTCCAAAGCAAGATCTTGCAGGCAAGGGAAGGTGCCTAAGATTAAAAAGATTAAACAGCTCAAGGTGGTGGTGGCTGAGGGCCCCCACATGTGCGATTGTGGGTGCAGGATACCCTGAGGGCACAATTCTGGGCGGCCCCCGTGGCCTTGATGGCATTCCTAGGGACTGCAGAGCCAAGCTAGGCACCTCCTGGTCCAGGACTCTTGGTTCCTCACTTGAGGTTCCTTGGAGATTTCCCAAGAAGAATAAATGGGGATCCCTAGCTGTGACTGTGAGTGGGCTGCCCTGCTTGGCGGCCTCAGGGAACTTAAATTGAAACTGAGGAATGATGGCTTTGGATGCCTGCTGAGCTGCAGGAGGCTGGAGTTTAGGGGGTGGAAAATGCACCAGAGGGAGTGGGAGCAGCAGCGGAGGAATGGAGGTGATACGGGGTGCTGCTCACCCACTGGGGTGCACTAAACACTTGAGTTTCCATGGTGGCGATGGAAGGGCCGAGGAGGGAACCCCTGGAGAGGCCTGGTGGAGGACGAAAAGCTGCCGCACACACTGCTGTCCGCTTCTGCCTCCACCTCCCACCACCCCTACTGCCACCTGCCCGCTGGCCCTCCCAGGAAGGACTGCTCACTCCTCGCACCCCTTAGATTGGGCTCAGATGGGATAGTGGGTGTCACTCCACACTGAAACTGTAGGAACCAAGTCCCTTCCTGATTTGGGCCCTAGTGGAAGCCCAGCTGACCTGTTCATTGACCACCTTGGCACACTAATCAAGGCCTCTCCATACCCAGCACCGGCTAGACCCCCGGGCCGTGGGCCTGGCGGGTCAGGACAGGCCCTCCTGGCATTCTCTTTTCCTTTATGGGGAGCTGAAGCTCAATGAGTCTGAGCAGAAGCGGGTCACTCTGCCCATCTTAGGGACCACCTGTCCTTGTCTTCGCTCTCAGTCCATTGTGAGGCGGCTGGCGCTGGAAAGCCCATGAGAAATACACCCCTTTTCCGACTTCATAGAGAAGAATGAGCAGCTCACGAGGGAGGGAGCTGCAGTTCCCTGGCTGCTAGGTCATGTGTTCTAGCCCGCCCCGGGCATGTGGCGGAGGGAAGCCTGAAAAGGTGAGGCAGACATGCCTCCCACACCTCTCCCCCACTTTTCCCAGCCCCAGTCTAACAGGCAGCACCGGAGCCAATAGTCTTCAGTACTGTACGGGAAATTTTACTGAAGACAGAAGACTTTCCCCACCCAGCGCTCCCTTTCAGGTGATGGTGTGACTTCCTAATCTGCTCTGTGTCTTTGTCCTCAGTCACATCACCTGCAAGCAGAGACTCAGCGTTAGGGATGAAGGCCGCCTCCAGGGGGCGCTGCCGCTAGGTACCAGGGGCCAAGCAGCACCCTAGGAGGCTGTCCTGTGCAGGGGATGCGAAGCCATTCAGGTAGAAACATTCTGCCCCCATTTCCTCCTCCCTCACTTGGGACATCACTTCTCCCGTGGAGGGGGCTGCATTTTTCTTTTTTTTTTTCTTATGAGGCACTTATTATTTATAGTATATCTTACTGGAATCATGCATAAATAAAATATAAATGGAGAGTGGAAGAGAGGCTATCAAGAGCCCAGCCTGACCCCAACACATACTCACTTGACCCACATCCACATAGACACTTGACCATCTTGAGTCATGTGACCACACCCCCCTCCCCACATACACACACTTGCTTGAACGCAGTCTTCCACTTTCCGGACACCTCACCAGCACACACACATTCAGAAAGCACTAAGCCTGGTGGTCCACACACATTGGAGGCTCCATTAGTAGAAATCCCTGCAATGGGGTAAAGAACAAGCCTGCTGGCTTAGACTTCTGACTGGAGAATCGGAGCCATTGCAGTTAGCACCCTTCCTGAGGCTTCCAGGCAGGGACTGGTCCCCTGGGAATCCACACTTCCATTGCTCCTCCTTCCTACTGCCCTTCTGTGTGACCTTGGCCAATGGCCTCCCCATCTCTGGACATGAAGCTGTACCCTCCTAGCACTGCCAGCGCAGTCAGCCCCCCTATCCCAGGTCCTGTCCTCCTGTCTGACAAGCTGGGGCCCACATCTCACCTTGGCCAGGCAGCGGTGCCATCACACCCAGTATGGATGGTACCTAGGCAGCTCCAGGTTGGCAGAACAGTAGCGGGTGCAGCAGCGGGTGATGGGGCGCAGGCTGGAGACCCTGCACATCACCCGGGGCCCTGGGAGGTGGATGCGTGTGGGCAGCCCCTTAAACCAGACACACCGGTTAGCTCTACCAGCAACCTTCTTGTCCTCCATGGGCATCTTGAGGTGGTAGGGCTTTGGGAAGACCACCTGGGACTTTCCCTTGGCTGCTTGGCTCCCCCGAGTCCCGGGGGAAAGAGCCAGGCTGTGGTTCCTTAATGCCTTTGCGTCTGCCTGCTTCGCCTGCTCTCCTTTCCTGGGCGCTGCTCCAGGTGACCTCTTGGCCACTTTCTTCACTCCTGACACCACCTTGGTCTTTGATTTGTTGGGCTTCATCTCCTTATGCTCGCCTGTGGACTGTAATTTCCTCCACTGCTTGGGGCATCTAGGCTTCTGCAGCGCTTTGTGACTTTGTGTCTTATTGTTGTAGACAGTGTTGTCCCTGGGAGGCAAAGGGAACAGTAAGCACAGTGGGTGAGGACCCTGGTTTCCTAATCTAGTCCTGAGGCAGCTGCTATGCAGGCAGTTCAGGGGAGCCCCTTGAGAAAGTTAGAGGGTTTAGAGAGGACTGGCTTCCTGCCCAGAGGCCTTGAACCTGCAGATAAGGGTACCAGGTGATGATGAGGATTGGCAGAAGGGATGAGAAGTTTGGAAGGTAGAAGGCAATAAATACCTAGTAGTTAAAACACCAAGGAATGTGTGTCGTCCACATTTGCTGTGAGGTGAGGATTTTGCCTCTCTGGACTTGCAGGCACAAGGGGGAAACTAGTCCAGTGGGTTTTTTTGTTTGTTTCAAATTGTGTTCCAGAAAGTCTTAGGGTTCTGGTGAGGGGTCTCACATGGCCCTCCCTGGTGTGGGGGAGGGCAGGATGAAAACAGGATACTTTTTCCCCCCAAACCAGAACTAAGTTTGGGGGAACAAAGGCTTGAAGAGAGACTACTGCTTTACATAAGTCAGGAGTTTCCAACGTTAGCTTTGCTTTTTGTCCCTATGTGGACCTGGTTGACAAATACTCAGCCGTCAGGGGCCAGGTCTGCACATGAGTCTCTGGTTGTACTGACTTGTGAGAGGGAGGCTGGTGGGGAGGACCCCCCTGAAGACTGCTGCCCCCAGGGGGATAGTATCATAATTGGATGATTATGACTGTAGTTATGACTATTATTGGTATCAGACAAAAGTGGCTTCATGTCCCACCTCTGTCACTTGTCAGCTACATTTGCTGGGACAAATCGGGCCACCTCCTAGATCTAAGTTCCCCAGTGGTAAAATAACTCTCACCGAGCATTCTGGGTGGGGGGAATGACCCATTTTCAAAAATTCTTAGTACAATACCTGTCCCCAGTGAAGATAGCATTATCACCACAGGGTTGCGTGTAGGGCCGTGGATGGGCCGAGCTTACCCATAGGAGATGTAAAGCATCTTGGGAACTTTAAGCAGTAAATTCCAATACCCTTTAGCCAAGCTGTACAGTTGTTGGATCCGAGGGTTGGAGCTATTGAAGAGCTTCAAGAGGGATAAGTTTTTTATTACCTATCAGGGTCAAGAAACCAGAGAAACAGAAGCTTCAGCTCCCCTGGGCCAACTTCCCACTCCCTCCCCGCCTGTCTCATCCCTCTTGGCACCAGGCCTGGTGGTTTCGTCTGGATCACTCATACTGGCGGCCGGGAGAGGTACCAGCGCGTGTGCAGGCTCCCCAAGCGAAAGCCAGAGGAGAGTATCTCACCGTTTTCAGCCGGTTCTGTTCAACCACTCTGTTGATGGGATATTGTAATAAGTCCTGTGGCGCCTCATCTTGCTTCTGAGGGACCGAGAAAGAGCTAGCCAGGAGAAAGCCCCTGACGGGCTCTGCCATGCTGGCCCATTTGGCTGAGCATGGTGTGGCCAGTCCTGGGCTAGGGAGGAGTTCTTGTCACCTTGGTTTAAGGGCAGGAAGGAGGAAGCCGTGCACACCCTCCTGACCTCCCTTCACCCCTCACTTCTCCCTCTGCCCACCCCCACGCTCTTTGGTGTGATTGGGCTCTTAGTTAAGGCTCCTACAGAGAGGCTCTTCCCCAGGACCCAGTCCAAAGTCCAACCTTGGACACCCCTTTGTTTTGAGGCCTCTTCTTTGCTGATAAACCCATGCTGGAGCTGAAACTTGAGAGAGAAGAGCAAACAGGACTGGTAGAAGGCACTGTGTGTGGCCCCTCTCGGTTCAGCCAGCATCAGGCTGGGCACTGGGGTGATGTGCTGCAGCTGCCAGAGAAGGGGAGCTATGACATCACTGAAATGTGTAACAGCAGCAGGGCTGGGTCTCCAAGGAGTGTGTGCGGGCAGAGGTGGAGGGTGAGGAGGAAAGGCCCACCCAGGGAGAACTACAGTAGGTAGCAGGCAGCCACGCAGCCATCCACATCATTAGGGCCTCTCTAACAGGTAAGAGCATTGCCCCTGCTTTTATTTAATGAGGTTTAAATACTCCCCTCAAGGCCACACAGCTGGACAGTGGTGAAGCTGGAAAGCTAACCCAGATTGGACAGCCAGTCTAGGACCAGGGATTCCCAGGCTAGGCTTACCTGTTTGGCCATGGTGCAGCTGTGGACAGGGCACCTTATTCTCTCCTGGTACTATTCTAAGCATTGCAATGAAAGAAAGTTTTTTATCCCTAAAGAATTTGGAGTCTTGTGGAGGGGAAAGAGAAGAAATTGTATGTGCTTATAAATGTCTAACAATCAACCATTTGGGAAAAAAGTGTATGTGTATATATGTGGTGGTGGTTATGTACCATCAAGTCAGAACCGACTCATAGCTGATCCTCCAGTGACAGTAAATTGCATGGGAGGAGAGTGCCTTTCTTTCTCCCACAGAGCAGCTGGTGGATTTGAACCACATGCTTTTTTTTTTGGTTAACAACACAATTCCTTACCACTAAGGGGCGGGCTTATTATAAATTGTGTGGTGTTGAGTCCTGTAGAATTGGAAATGACCGATAGCTGACCCTCCAGAGAGTTGTCAGAGGCAGTTAATAGCATAGGAGGAGACTGGCCATCCTTCTCCCGAGGAGCAGCTGGTGGCCTTGAACTGTGTGCTTTCAGGATTGCAACGTAGCTTCTTGCCACTAGGCCACCAGAGCTCCTTATTATAAATTTTACTAATATAAATTTATAAACCATAATAGGGAGCTCTGGTAGACCAGAAGCAAGAAGCTGTGCTGTAATCCTCAAAGCGTGTAGTTCGAATTCACCAGCTACTCCCTGGGAGAAGGATGGCCAGTCTCCTCTCATGTGATTAGCCATCTCTGAAAACTCAACAGAGGGTTAGCTGTACGTTGGTTCTCTCTCAGTGGCACTCAACAGCAACAATAAAGTATGGAGTATTTTTTATTGTAAATGAATTCTTACAGAATGCCTCACTTGGTTTTTCCCTAACTCTTGTATCCATATCTAATTTATGATTGTTCTTGAGGAACATGTGTATCACTAGGAATATTGATTTTTTTTCCATTTACATTAGTAAGAAGTTAGTGAAACAACAAAGTTTGTAAGTTTACTCATTTGTCAGTAAAAGGATTGATTTATTATGGAATCCAATAATAATTTTACAATATTGGCAGTGTATTTTCTCTGTATTTTGTATGTTATTCACAATGTAACAGCTACAGATAAGTTTCCATTTAATCTGCATTGTTAACGTTTTCTCCTTTACTTTCTTACATGTAGGTGAAGAGTTGGCAGATTTCTCCCCTGTAAACCACCAGAGAGTAAATATGTTAGGCTCAGTTACAGACTACATGGTCTTAGAGGCTACAACTCTGCCACTGTAGTGTGAAGACAGCCACAGACAAACATAGAAATGAATAGATGTGGCTGTGTCCTGATAAAACTTTATTTATAAAAACAGGCAGATTGGCTAGATTTGACTGGCAGGTTTTGCTGAGACTTGTTCTAGACAGTCAACAAAATAATAAATTAGAACTCAGTTTGTCACATATGTGTAGTTCACTCCAGCTAGCTTCAAGTTATCAATGTGTTGTCATTTAACATGGAGCTAAAAAAGATGCCAAGTTGCATGCCATTCTGTTATCCCTTTCTACTGGAGAGACCTTTAGGTAAATCATCTCAAGAGCATAGATGATAGTCAGACGCAGTTCAAAATGAAGAAGTGATGAGATAAAACATTTTTTAAATTTTTTAAATTTTATTGTGTGTGTGTGTGTACCATCAAATCAGATCTGACTGGTACAGGAGGAAATTCTCCAGCAAAGCATCTGGTGGATTCGAACCGTGCGCCTCTGGGGTTGCAGTGCAGCTTCTTGCCATTAGGCCACCATAGCTCCCCTGAGATAAAGCATTTTTAACTTTAAAAAAAATATTTATTTTATTTTGACAAAAAAATACACAGCAAATCCCACTTTCATTCCACAGTTTGTAAAAACATACTAGTCAGTGACATTGGTTCTGTTCTTCACATTGTGTCAACATTCTTCTTGTTTCTGTTCCAGTTGTTTCATGACTTTGAACTCCCTGACTTCTAGCATTCTCCTCTGTACTTTAGGATAGCGGCTGACCATCTGGTTTTCTTCAGATACTTGTTTGTTTGTTTGTTTAAGACCATAATGCTCATGGGTGACAATCTTTGCTAGTAAAATGAAGCACTTAGTTTAAAGGTAGCTTCAGGGGGAGTTTCAAGTCTGGGTTTCAGGAATATTCAGGGTCGTAGTCTCGGGGATTCCTCCAGCCTCAGTTGATCCAGTCAGTCTGGTTTCTTTGAGAGTTTAAAGCTCTGCTGCACATTTTCTCCCTTTCTAGCATTACCTCTGTTTTAAGATCATTTGCTTATGGGAACTTGATGTCATTTAAAAAATAATGACTGTGCTTAACAACTGGCCTGCCAAGTTCCTAGATATCTTAACGGTTGCCTCGTGCTTGCCATTCTGAGCCAGCTTGAGCAAGCTACTGTCAGAGGGAAATAAGCTCTTGGAGAAAAGTAGAGAGGATACATGCTCACGTTCATTGCCATTGGGCTGGAACCAACTCATAGCCGAGCCTTCAGCAGCTTCCAGAGGACGTAACTGCACTGCAGGAGACTGCCCGTCTTTCTCTTAGATGCTGTTAATGAATTTGAACCAGAGAAGTGTAGTCCTTGGGCTAGCAGTGCACCTCCTATGGACTAGGCCGCCAGAGGAAGGCCGATGGTGAGCGCAGTGGGAGCGCTGCTCCGTGGAGTGGGTGGTCTGGGAAAGATTCTCCAGCATAGTGGCATCTGAGCAGAGGCCAGAAGGAAGAGAGCAAGGGCGAGTGGTGGTAGTGGAGATGAGGGCAGAGAGGGAGTTGTGTTAAAGGGCTGGGGACAGTCATAGAAGGCTTCGCAAGGCCTCCAGCTGCTGTGAAGGCCAGGTGCCTAGGGAGCTGCGCTGGAATAACCTGGAGAGTGTGGCTAAGGTGGCTTCTCGGGCAGTGCTGCAGCAGCCCAGTAGGTCAGTGTGATGACCAGCAAAGTCTGAGAACCACTCCACACACACACTGGGAGATGTGTGCATGGCTGGGGAATGCTTAGTGCTGTCTGTTAGAGGTGACAAGCTAAGCCTAAACGATAGCCGTTTCTAATGTGGTTGATGCTCTTTATTATTAGCTTGGTGCTAAGGTAGACTGGTAGATCACCTACCACCAGAGGGTCAGTTGTCAGATCTTTGGAGCTTAGATTTTCAGCCTGCAGCTCTGTGCCTGACCTGACAGTGTTGGAGGGCCCACTTGGAGCAGCTGTAGGAGCTAGTAGTCACCCGACCTGCTGATTTGGGAGCTGCTGATCTGAACTAGCCATTCTTCATGTCCTGCAAGTATTTGTATTTCTTTTCTGTGAATAGCTGCGCTGCAATCCTGAAGGCACATGGTTCGAATCCAGGAGAAAGAAAGTGATTAACTGCCTCTGAAAACCCGCCAGAGAGTCAGCTATGGGCCAGCTCTGACTCAATGGTGTGCAGTACAAAAGGTAGTCTGGAGATTTAAGCTGTGGCCCAGGGAGGAAGGGAAGGGATGATTTGGGAAGGAAGACCCGGAGAATAGATAACCACACTTCCCACGCTGTCTGCTCCAATAGCACTGAGCCTCTGCCTGCTTAGTCACCCTTCTCCCTCCTGGTGCAATTTCAGTTCTTGTTGATGTCTTGCTTGAGCTCTGCCTGCTCTGAGGCCGCATTGCCTGGTGGGCTAACTACATCAGAATCATCTAGACCCTGGGCACTGAAGAGCTCAACAGGCTGGGCTTACCTCTCCCCAGGAGGTTCACAGGACAGTGGGAGGGTTCTGCTAGAATTGATCACCTCCCCCAGGGCAGGGACTTTTTAAAATTATTTCTTTTAGAGCCTGGAACCATGTCTGACACATAATAGAACTCCCATAAGTTTTTATTGGGAAAAATATGACATAAACAGCATATTATAAACCTATGATTATATAAACACTGATTTTTTTTAAATGGCCTAAAGAAATGAAGAGATAAAAATAACATGCTCACAGATTGGAAGATTCAATATTTCAATATGTCAATTTTTTCCTCCACTGTCAGTTCTTCTGCAGTTAAAATCTTAGTAGGGCACTCACTTCAGCAGCAAATATACTAAAATTGGAACAATTCAGAGAAGATTAGCATGACCCTGTTCTAGGATGACACACAAGTTCGTGAAGCCTTTTCTAACAGGGAGTGCAGTACTGTGGAATATGGGCAAGTTGTTAGTAGTTGGTTTACTGTCTTATCACACAGGGTGACCATGGACCGCCAGCATCAGCATCAGCAGGAAGTGTTAGAGATGCAGAATCTTAGACCCTTGCTGGGACGGAGCCCTCTTAACAAAAACATTCATGTGATAGATTTGTTTTGCTCACGTTTGGGAAGTGAGGTCTGCACCTCTGCCTACATACAAAATTGAAGAGTTAACTTTTGCCAGTGTACCTGGACTCATATAACTTCCCAAGTAAGATATTATTGTTACTATTCCTATTATTATTAAGCCTTTGTGCAGGGTAGGAAACCTCGGTGTAGAGAAGTGTTTCACCAAAGGTCAAAAGAGAATAAGAATCAGGCCTTAAAACAAGATCTCTGAATCCAAAACATAGGCTCTTATCCATTACTTCCAGTTGCCTATCAGGAGC